AAAACAAAATCCTCTACACTTCTCGAATATGTAATCGAATACGGGCGTTACCGGACACCTTGGTGAAAAACGCGACTGTTGATTGTCTACATGTATCCGATGTCTTCTTCCGATAATTTAAGTTGCCGAAACTCTATGTCACTTATGTTTAACCACATATGCCCATGTACCGGCGTTACCGGACACCACGATGGTATGATTCTTCGGTCTAGTAGAAAATTGATTTGCCTAGAGAAGACCGATAGTACAAGGACATTGACTACTGTATGCCGTACGGTTGTAATCTATGTAAGAAAAACAAAATCCTCTACACTTCTCGAACATGTAATCGAATACGGGCGTTACCGGATACCTTGGTGAAAAACGCGACTGTTGATTGTCTACATGTATCCGATGTCTTCTTCTGATAATTTAAGTTGCCGAAACTCTATGTCACTTATGTTTAACGACTTATGCCCATGTACCGGCTTTACCGGAGACTACGATCGGATGATTCGCCGGACTAGTCAAAAATTTATTTGCCTGGAGAATACCGATAGGACAAGGAAATTGAATACTGTATGCCGCACGGTTGTAATCTATGTAAGAAAAACAAAATCCTATACAATTCTCGAAAATGTAATCGAATACGGGCTTTACCGGACACCTTGGTGAAAAACGCGACTGTTGATTGTCTACATGTATCCGATGTCTTCTTCCGATAATTTAAGTTGCCGAAACTCTGTGTCACTTATGTTTAACGACATATGCCCATGTACCGGCTTTACCGGAGACTACGAGCGGATGATTCGCCGGACTAGTAAAAAATTTATTTGCCTGGAGAATACCGATAGGACAAGGAAATTGAATACTGTATGCCGCACGGTTATAGGCTATGTAAAAAAAACAAAATTAACTAGACTTCTCGAACATATAGTCGAATACGGGCTTTACCGGACATCTTTGTGAGAAGAATTGCTTATGAATGTATCGCTGCGAACGAGATTTTGGTCTATCTATACTTTCTTATATGTGTCTTGGTACTTGCGATTTAGAGGCTTTACCGGACACCTTGGTGAAAAACGCGACTGTTGATTGTCTACATGCATCCGATGTCTTCTTCCGATAATTTAGGTTGCCGAAACTCTATGTCACTTATGTTTAACGACATATGCCCTTGTACCGGCTTTACCGGACACCGCGATGGAATCATTCTTTGTTCTAATAAAAAATTGATTGCCTAGAGAAGACCGATAGGACAAGGACATTGACTACTGTATGCCGTAGGGTTGTAATCTATGTAAGAAAAACAAAATCCTCTACCCTTCTCGAACATGTAATCGAATACGGGCTTTACTGGACATCTTGGTGAGAAGAATTGCTTATGAATGTATCGCTGCGACCGAGATTTTGGTCTATCCATACTTTCTTATATAAGTCTTGGCACTTGCGATTTAGAGGCTTTACCGGACACCTTGGTGAAAAACGCGACTGTTGATTGTCTACATGCATCCGATGTCTTCTTCCGATAATTTAGGTAGCCGAAACTCTATGTCAATTATGTTTAACCACTTATGCCCATGTACCGGCTTTACCGGACACCACGATGGGATGATTCTTCGGTCTAGTAGAAAATTAATTCGCCTAGAGAATCCCGATAGTACAAGGACATTGACTACTGTATGCCGTACGGTTATAGTCTATGTAAAAAAAAGAAAATCCCTTACACTTCTCGAACATATAATCGAATACGGTCTTTACCGGACACCTTGATGAAATGCTCGACTTTTAATTGTCTACATGCATCCGTTGTCTTGGTCCGATAATTCAGAACGCCGAAACTCTCTGCCACTTATGTTTAACCACAACAAGTTGTTGGCCAACTTTTCATAAGCATAATCCCATGTACCTAAAATATATAGAGCCATGTACCGGCGTTACCGGACTCCACGATGGGATGATTCTTCGGTCTAGTAGAAAATTGATTCGCCTAGAGAATCCCGATAGTACAAGGACATTGACTACTGTATGCCGTACGGTTATAGTCTATGTAAAAAAAAGAAAATCCCTTACACTTCTCGAACATATAATCGAATACGGTCTTTACCGGACACCTTGATGAAATGCTCGACTTTTAATTGTCTACATGCATCCGATGTCTTGGTCCGATAATTCAGGACGCCGAAACTCTCTGCCACTTATGTTTAACCACAACAAGTTTTTGGCCAACTTTTCATAAGCATAATCCCATGTACCTCAAGTATATAGAGCCATGTACCGGCGTTACCGGACACCACGATGTGATGATTCGACGGACTAGTAGAAAATTGATTTGCCTAGAGAAGATCGATAGGACAAGGACATTGTATACTGTATGGCGTACGATTGTCCCCTATGTAAGAAGACATAATCCCTCACATTTCTTGAACATATAAATGAATACGGTTAGGTATTTAGGCCACCGAATCTCTTTGTCTCTTTAGTTGAAGCACACATGACCATGTACCGGCTTTACCGGACACCACGATGGAAAGATCCATCGGACGAATAGAAATTTAATTTGATTAGAGAATACTACATGATAAGGAGATTCATTACTTTATGTCGTACGGATGTCCCCCTATCTAAGAAACCAAAATCCTTTTCACTTTTAGAACATGTGGTTATATAAGGTTTGGTCGGAGACCGGATTTATAGATGTCATAAGATTTTCGCTATGTGTTCATAAGCACGATGCCATTTACCTGATGTACATAGGGCCATGTATCGGCTTTACCGGACACGACGATGGGAAGATTCGTCTTGGAAGACGAGTAGAAAATTGATGTGCCTAGAGAATATCGATAGGTCAAGTAGATTGAATATTGTATGCCAAAACGGAGCGTCCCTATATATGAAAACAAAATGTTATATGCTTCTAGCACAGTAGGACATAGACCAGATGTACCGGACACCTTGGTTGTAAGCCCGACTTATGAATGTCTAACTGCGTTCGAACTTTTCATTCAATAATTCAGGTTGAGGCAATTCTGCTCCACCTTCCATCATCTATGAGAATACTAGATTCTTATTTGTATAACAAATCACGCCCAATAACCCAATATCCCAATAATTAACCTGGTTAACTTCATTCAAGCAAAATTATTTATAATGGCTATTTCTATTCATTGGGATTTTAGTTGAAACGAATCTAAGACTATTCCTGAATGTCATCCTACTCTGCCTATCCGTATTTGTGTAGATGTCGGTTTAGAATAGTTTCTAGTTTACAATAGATAATATTTTGAATTTTTTTATTTAACACGGACTGGATTCCTTAATACGTTGAAAATTATTCTTCAAGTTTTCAATACCATAACAATAAGCGCTGGAATTTTCTTTTTAACAATATATTCGGCGATCCCTAAATGAAAAAACGGCAAGTGCTACCACGTTTATTTTCAAAAATATATATCCCTCAAGCTCTAATCCCAATAACGCAACGTCGTTTCAAATGTTTTTCTCAAAGAAAAAAATAACACAAAGCGACGCCTGCGGATAATTATTTACGTATAAAATTAACAGCGCGTTTTTTTATTTGGTATAAAGCCAGAGTGATTTTTGATTCAGTGGTTTCGTTGAAGACCTCTTTGATTCAGTCCACCGCTGTATAATTACTTGATATTTCTATGGTCACAACTATATTACCTATAAAAGTAGAGAAAATTTTGAAAAAATAAATGCGCCAGGAAGCAGAGGTAAGCTAACATTTAATATATGTAATATAAAAAATATTTTTTTCTTTATTGAAAATCAATCGATTTTTCTAGTTTGGACAAGCACAGAAGGAAATATATTATTGAAATCATTTCCTATGTTTTTACATCATCAAGCCAGGTTATCCGCTGAACAACTCAATCAGATAATAGCATACCATGCACTCAATTTTGTTGTTGTAATGTACGTGTACAAAATTATTATATAGGCCCGTTATGCACATTGGTCGTGAGCTCCGTCCGTAATGATATCCGAATGTTTACTAACCGTATCGTTCCGTGATATATTACTCAATAAGAATCATTATTGGCTGTACCGCGCCCGCCATATTGTCTGGCTAATGACATTCGTATTCAGGAGAACTTGTCATGAGTACAAACCCGCCATATTTTTAAATTATTGGCCGGTCGATCAGCCGTGTCGGCCGTTTTTCAAATAGAATAAGCAAAAGTGCTCGTCGTGCCTAGCCTTTCAGAGAATGAGCGGAGATCACGGGTGGCCATGCTCCGCTGTGTTTGACATAAAAAGAAAATAAGGGCTCGCCGCGCCTGGCTGTTTTCAGCATGAATGAAGATAAATCAGAGCATAATTGTGTTGTTCGAGAAGCAATAAATAAATGTTTCCTTAAATATCAAATTATTTTACCTGAGTCAATTCAAAAATTTTTTCGTATGTTATGAAAATTTAAAAAAATAATTTTTATACCAAGATTTGCTTATTGAAGAAAATATTTTGCTAATAAACTTTTATTTACAGAACTCTAATTATTTACATAAATCTAAAAATAGTGAATGCAGATTTTATAAGATACATCAGTCTTTAAACATAGAATATTTAACTGATAAGGGGCCTCTCTACCCCTATATAGATATACAAACGAATGGGACAATCTTTGCTCCATAATTTTGACTTAAATACTGATTGAAATGATCTCAAAAAATATACATCGATAGATTTTGTCAATAAAAGTACGATGAACTCGTTTTGGATGATTCGGTCCGCGGATTTTGCTCACAACTCACAAACGTCAACAAAATATAGTTTGAGGTTTGTATACATTTTGAAACAAATGAAAAATTGCAAGCAGGTCAGTAAACGACGTTTGTGAGTTCATGTTCATAAATTTATTTTGAAAAAACCCGCAGACCGAATCATCCAAAATGAATTCATCGTACTTTTATTAACAAAATCTATCGATATATATTTTTAGAGATCATTTTAATTAGTATTCAAGTTAAAACTATGGAGCAAAGATTGTCCCATTCGTTTGTATATCTATATAGGGATAGGGGATCCTTAATGATATGTTTCTTGAAAGTTTTTAATTTTCTAATTTTAATTTTCTTGAATAAACTTTCAACATCAGCTTATTCATATATCATAATTTTTCTATTGATATGGCAATGAAAAGTTGTATGATATATTATGGCTGAGTAGAGCGAATTTCGGACAATAACAATTTTCTGCAGTATAATTTGTGCTTCCACATAGTTGCTCTTGAAAAAAACCCAAAGCAGTTATCACATTGAACTTTTTGAACTGGATTTAATGCATCTACTCTAATCTTCATTGCAGGCATTATCGTTCCCGTTATATCTTTGTATTTTGCAAGTCCTTGGTTCCTAATGAAATTTATCGCTAATCTTTTTGACGATTTGTTTTCATTCTCAATTAAAAACATTTTTACCACATCATTATCGATGTGCTTATTACTTAGGTGTCTGCTAAATTTTTTTACAAATTTCTGGCAGAATATGCAAAAAGTATTCCCATCTTTTGACTTTTTTTGATATCTTTTAATTACTAGCGGATGCAGTTTTTCTAACTTTATATATGCACGATCAATCTTTTGATCTAATTTCTTATACATGGAAAAACCACAAAATTCCTCTTCAAAGTCGAACATTATTGTATATTCCATATGAGGACTTAGGCAAACACTGGAAAATCCAATTGAATATGGATTTAACAAACTTTCTGAAAAAAACAATAAAATTATCAAAGCTGTTAACAAATAATAGTTAGCTAGATATTGTTATGTTACAAAATTAGATAATTATTCTATACCAATATTACCATGATAATTCTTTTAAGTTGTTACTAGTGGTAGGAGATCTAATTCTTCAATGTATATAGTAGATAGATTGATATTATGTAAAGTAAAATTATCAAATTGCTAAGGCTTTTAGTTTGAAATACATTAGATATCATTGCTTTATTTTTGGTATTTGCGTTCTCTAGTCATTCAATTTCTTTCATTCAAAGAGGCTTACAGATTCATAGTGAGAAATTTAATCTTAAAATTTTTTATCTGTAGCACAATATGTTTTTAGTAGTGTAATATTTCAATACGATTTGAATTGCAAATTCGATTTTTATAAATTTATCATTTATTAATATGTTGTGTTCTTTAAATATCTTGTACAATCTAAAATATTCACTCGGCATACTGATATAATTAGCTACAAGATGGAAATATTGATCTAGTATAAAGTACCTAATTTTACAGTATGACATATGTGGGATATAACATGTTATATGGTGGATTTTATAGCATGAAAAATGATTTGATGAGGGTATACATATTTCAACATAAATCCATTGCTTTTTAATATAATAAAATTGCATATACTTACTCAAATTTAATTGAATAGAAATATCATTCTCAACGCAGCATTGGATGAAGTCATGGAAATTTGGCTTATCAGTTTTCAGATAATTTTTAATAATTGATTCTAACCAATATAACTGTTCAATTTCAAACTTTAAATATAATTTATTAATTACTATTACAATATCTGTACCACTCTGAGATGATTTGAAAATAAATTGATCAGTAGAAAAATAATTACTCAAAGTTTGGCAAACTTGTAGTCGAATACTAGAAAGAATATTTTTTGAAAATATTCTAGAAACACTCAGCGCTATATAACTGCTGTGAATAGATATGGTATTTAGGTTCAATTTCAAGACCTGTTCTGATGACATCTCTGAGAAATTATTACTTATAATATTGCTTGGCTGAATATCATCATCCTTATTTTGACTCGTTATTTTTACTGAAATTATAAAAATTCAAACTTATTAATATAATTGCAGATTGATTATTCCAAAATTATCCACAAAATCTTATGTATTAAAAATGTATTAAAATTATCTTATCTATTAAAACTTATATGTTTTTAATTAAAAAATGTTAATTAAAATTATATGTTAAAATTATGTCACCATATAAACAGACGTACTTGAATTTTTCTTCATAAAATATCCTTTACCATTTTCTTGACAAGTTACACATTCGCAATATTTGTTTTCAGCACCAAAATAATTTGAAGAGTAGTTACATAAAATTTCTTCACCAGCTTGAATTTTTCTAATGGTTTTTATTTTCACAAAATTTCTGGATAATGATATATAACATGAATTTGCATTACAATCATGGTTGATAAATGCTACCGGACCAAGCAGGAGCATATCTAAATTTTTTCTTGAACTCTTCATCACAGAAAAATCTAATTTTTCTTTATCTAAATATACTTTGGTTTCAAAATCTAAATTCTGGTAAAATCCTACTATGCATTTTAATATTGTGTTTCTTGGAATGTCTCTTTTCGCTGTCACTTTTAAACCTTTGTGATTGTCCCCCTGGTACCTGTCACATTCGACAATATCAAATGGAGCCTCTGTTGAAAATGCCTCTAGGTAAGCAGTCATGACAGGATTAATCAAAGCTCTGTAAGGAATACTGAACGTGTACAGAAGCTTATACTTTATTGACAATTCTATGATTTTCTCTCTTAGTTCTTCTATTTGACTAGATTTTAGTGGTACATATCTGAGCATCAATTGGAAAACCTCCTTCAGAACATTACCTGAAATGCTAGTATTTCTACATATTTTTTTGGTTTCAAATCCAAGATACATATCCAGAATTAATGATTTACACAAATCATCTATTCTCATCATGGTCTGACAATTCATTTTTTTTGTTTATTTTCACACATATTTTAACTATTTATCCAATGTCATATTATCACATAATAATAACCCAAAACAATCTTATATAATCAAACTAAAATAAAAATTGTCAAAACTGAGAGTGCCTTTTCCAAAATATAAAAATTAGCAAATTTGCAAAAAATTCTGGCACTAATTGTTTTTTTTAATATTCAATTTCATAAGTAACCGAAAAGTTATTATAAAAAAATATTCAATTTAAAAATCCAAGAAAACTTGTTTGTTGCAATAAAATATTGGAAAGTATTTATTATATTCTATATTTTTTTATACCATCCATGAATCCATGGTATATAAGAAAGTCTTCTCTGTGTCAAATTTTGCTCGGTTCATCCGCAACCGGTCTAGTACGCTAGACTAATATATGTAAATAGTTAACGGACACTTTCAATAACAATTAACTTACAATATATCAAAAAGTTGCTCCTGAAATGCTCCCTACAAATATCAAATTGCTCCCAAAATTAATTTTTTTTTTCAAAAGTTACAAACAATTTTCCGAATTTGTTGAAGAATCTTGTTTCCTCATTGGATTCTCATCACTGTATGTAGCAAACTTCTAATTCTCATTCATTACAATTTCTATGACTTAATATATAGTTCGTGGTTGCATTTTGGCGGTTTTGATCGTTTTCTATGTCCATTTTTGGAGCATTATAAAACTTTTTTATTGCTCTTGAATGCTACTTCCATTTTGTTATAAAAGAACCACCTAATTCACGTATAGAAATGAATTGGGTTTCTTGAGAGACATAAATACTTAACCTGAGAAATATAGATAGTAATTCCATTGTTCTATCTGGTAAGATTTTTGTGCTGTTTATTCATAGAGGCAAAGGGCCTTAGATTACAATATTATTTTTTATTTTCCAGATGATTCAGCAGAAGATTTGTTATAAAAGAACCACCTGATCAACGTATAGAAATACTGAGAGGATTGGGTTTTATTGAGAAACATAAATACTTAACCTGAAAAATATGGATAGTAATTCCATTGTGCTATTTGGTAAGATTTTTGTGCTGTTTATTCATAAAGGCGCTTTACCTTAGATTACAATATTATTTTTTATTTTTCAGATGATTCAGCAGAATATTTGTTATAAAAGAACCACCTGATTAACGTATAGAAATACTGAGAGGATTGGGTTTCTTGAGAGACATAAATACTTAACGTGAGAAATATAGATAGTAATTCCATTGTTCTGTCTGGTAAGATTTTTGTGCTGTTTATTCATAGAGGCAAAGCGCCTTAGATTACAATATTATTTTTTATTTTCCAGATGATTCAGCAGAAGATTTGTTATAAAAGAACCACCTGATTAACGTATAGAAATCTGAGAGGATTGGGTTTCTTGAGAGACATAAATACTTAACCTGAAAAAAATGGATAGTAATTCCATTGTGCTATTTGGTAAGATTTTTGTGCTGTTTATTCATAAAGGCGCTTTACCTTAGATTACAATATTATTTTTTATTTTTCAGATAATTCAGCAGAAGATTTGTTATAAAAGTACCACCTGATTAACGTATAGAAATACTGAGAGGATTGGGTTTTATTGAGAGACATAAATACTTAACCTGAGAAATATAGATAGTAATTCCATTGTTCTATCTGGTAAGATTTTTGTGCTGTTTATTCATAGAGGCAAAGCGCCTTAGATTACAATATTATTTTTTATTTTCCAGATGATTCAGCAGAAGATTTGTTATAAAAGAACAACCTGATCAACGTATAGAAATACTGAGAGGATTGGGTTTTATTGAGAGACATAAATACTTAACCTGAAAAATATGGATAGTAATTCCATTGTGCTATTTGGTAAGATTTTTGTGCTGTTTATTCATAAAGACGCTTTACTTTAGATTACAATATTATTTTTTATTTTTCAGATGATTCAGCAGAATATTTGTTATAAAAGAACCACCTGATTAACGTATAGAAATACTGAGAGGATTGGGTTTCTTGAGAGACATAAATACTTAACCTGAGAAATATGGATAGTAATTCCATTGTTCTATCTGGTAAGATTTTTGTGCTGTTTATTCATAGAGGCAAAGCGCCTTAGATTACAATATTATTTTTTATTTTCCAGATGATTCAGCAGAATATTTGTTATAAAAGAACCCCCTGATTAACGTATAGAAATACTGAGAGGATTGGGTTTCTTGAGAGACATAAATGCTTAACCTGAAAAATATGGATAGTAATTCCATTGTGCTATCTGGTAAGATTTTTGTGCTGTTTATTCATAGAGGCAAAGCGCCTTAGATTACAATATTATTTTTTATTTTCCAGATGATTCAGCAGAATATTTGTTATAAAAGAACCCCCTGATTAACGTATAGAAATACTGAGAGGATTGGGTTTCTTGAGAGACATAAATGCTTAACCTGAAAAATATGGATAGTAATTCCATTGTGCTATTTGGTAAGATTTTTGTGCTGTTTATTCATAAAGGCGCTTTACCTTAGATTACAATATTATTTTTTATTTTTCAGATGATTCAACAGAATATTTGTTATAAAAGAACCACCTGATTAACGTATAGAAATACTGAGAGGATTGGGTTTCTTGAGAGACATAAATACTTAACCTGAGAAATATGGATAGTAATTCCATTGTTCTATCTGGTAAGATTTTTGTGCTGTTTATTCATAGAGGCGCTTTACCTTAGATTACAATATTAATTTTTATTTTATCAGAAGATTCAGCAGAAGATTATGTAAATTGTCAAGTAGACAATCAAATTGCTTCCTGTAATACTACAAATTATGATTTATATGATTCTGAATCCGAATCGGTCACAAGTGGTTCAGAATATGTACCTGATCCTGGAGATGAACAAATTTCCACTACTGATGATAACAGTGGATCTGAAATATCGTATATTGAAAAACGGAATCATACAAAGTTTGATCACAAGAAATATAAAATGTCTCTTAGCAGTGAATTGGATTTTTCAGATAATGAAGACCGTAATGACTTGATGAATATTCGTGAACCTCATTTAGCTGGAAAAGTAAAGAATTTCAAAACGAAGCCATGTATAAAAGTATCAAATAAGCATGAAACCAGTGAAGATTGTATATCTGAGTCATCATCAGATGATGATTCAATAAGTAGCAAAATTCTTAATTTACCAGCCAAGCAATCATGTAAAAATCAATCTGCAGCTGGGCATTATGATTTATCGTCAGATGCTGAATCAATAACTAGTAGTATTCTTAAATCGTCCACCATTTCGTCACCTATGCACCAAACAGTTGATGATACTGAACTATCATCAGATAATGATTCTGCAAATAGTAAACTTGATTCGTCTAAAACTATAATAGGTAGAGGAAAACCTTGTACAGGTAGAAAATTAGAAAGTTTGTTACCAGAATTAGTTATAAAACTTACACCTATAGATGCAGATATACCAAAGACTAAGATGTATACAGGTGAAGCTGCAGGAGGTAATATGAATATTTAATTTAGAACAAGGTAAGAAATGGACAGCAAGGAGTAAAACAAATAATGAAGCTTAATCTTTAACAGGTGAAAATTCTAAATGTTGTCCTATAGTAGCTTCTACAAAGAAGTTTATGATTGAGAATTCTTCTCTTAAATTAAACAAATCAAAAGCTGTGAAAAAAACTAAAAATTGTAAGAAAACTTCCAAGGTTACTTTTGCCAAATCAAGTACTGTTACAACAAATTTTCTTGAATATTCTGAGTTGCTTGATACAAATACAAATAATCATGTTGATAAAATTCAAAATGATAATGTGAATGTATCTTCAGACCTGAGTAGTTTAGAAAACTCTTTTGTAAATATTAATTTGAAGTCAGTTGGGCAAGCTCTAAGAAATAGAACATCTCAAGTTCTATTATGCAGCAACGATGGATGTAAAAAGAACTGTTGTTTTTATTGTGTAGTAAAACGCATAGAGGAAAATGATTCTAATCAACGTGTCTTGTACACAAAATTACCTGAACACTACGTATCAAAGCATTCAAATGAGAGAGTAGTGATAAAACTTAAAAGACTGAAAAAAAAGTTAGCTATTCATAAAGAAAATCCTTATACTGCTTCAAAAGAACAGCAACAAGGATGGATGAAAAAGCGAAAAAAAATTCTGGACTTGTTGAGAATAAAAGCAAATCATTTAAATAATTTAAATGCAGAGGATGGTAGTCAATATGTGGTTCGCCGTAGACCAAAGGTAGAAGGCAAATTATTGTCTAATTATCTTCCATGTTACAATTGTACCCAAGTATTTTCTGTAAGTTCTCTACGTAAACATACACAAAAATGCACTGGACTCTCATTCAAAAAAAAACATGTTATAAAGTCAAAAGGAAGAGAAACTAATGGTGCTTACCATGAGTTAGCCAATGAATCTGCTATTAAAATTATATCTAAAATGAGGGAAACTCAAGCAGTTGAACAAGTAAGGTTTGATGCAGCTTTTTTTATGTGGCTCAATGCAGAAGCTAATAGAACTGAAGTAAAAAAACACATTCATCCTAAAGTTAGAGCTAATATAAGCAGATTAGGCACATTAATGATGGAAATAAAAAAAATCAATGAAAATATAACAGAGCTTAGCGATATATTCAATGAAGAACATTATAATGATTTTATTGCAGTTGTTAAGATTATGGGGAAGCCACATCCAGATACTGCTTTCATGCAGTCACCAGCTACAGCAAATGATATGTTCAATTTAATAAATCATGTATGTGAAATCTATGAAGTTAACCTTGGTCCAAAGAATGAAAAAGAAAGATTGACAGTTCAAGCTTTTCAACGTAAATTAAAGAAAATGTGGCAATATGATATAGGCAGTACCATTTTGGAAACCCAAGCCAGAATACGAAGAAACAAAGTCATTGCCTTAACTATGCAATCTGATACTGCTAGTTTATACAAACATTTGCAAGAGGAAATGAGAACTGCAGATTATGAATTAAAAAACAAATACTCTGACCAAGCATATGAACGATTGAGAAATGCTACTCTTTGTTATTTGCAAGCAACTAATGGTAGGCGACCTGGGGAGACAGAGCGAATGGAAATTGTGGACTATCAACATATGCAAAGTGATAAAAAGGAGTGCTTGATAATTATACGTGGAAAAAGAAGCAGAGGTGTTCCTGTTGTTTTTGATATAAATATCAAAGAATATTTAAATACATTAGTATCGTGTAGAAAAAGAGCAAAGATATCAGAAATAAATCCATATATATTTGCCACTATCCATGATGTAGCATCGGAAGATTTTGGATATGTATCAGCATGCACTTTGATGAACAAATTTTCTGAGAGCTGCAAAGCAGAAAATCCTGAAACTCTGAGAGGCACTCGTATTCGTATGAAAATTGCAACAGATGGTATGGAAAAAGGAATTCCAGAACCTGAAGTGCAAAAATTGTGTGAATACTTGGGTCATACGCCAAATATACATAAACAAAACTATAGGCAGAGTGTTTTTAACACAGACATAGCTATATCAAGACAAATAAGAGAAGCTCAAGGTCTTAAAATTGATAAAAGTGCTACTTGTGATAAAAACGTTGATCTGACTTATCAAAAAAATCTTTCTTCCTTTAATGAAAATACTATTGATTCTTCAAGTGCTGACATGAATTTTGCAGATTCTATTGATTCTTTAAGTATTGAAACGAATGTTGAAGATCCTATTGAAGATCACAGCAGAGGCCATGGCAATACTAATGATAAATCAATTTCAGGTAATAAATGTTCCTTATGACTACCTTCATTCTAGAATACATTTTAGTTCAGTTATAAATTTTATTTTAATTTTCCAAATGTTCGTTCTTGATCAACAGAAGCATCTCGACCTGCACGATTAGCTTGGAGGCAGAAACAAATAGATGTCCTCTTAGCGGCTTTTCCAAATGCATTGGATTTGAAATATAAAGTTCCATCTGTTAAAGACATTAACACATTTATAAGCAAGACTAAAGATCCAATATTAAAAATGAGATCTCAAGGCCAAATAAGGTCTTGGATGCATCTTAAAAGAAATGAAAAAAAAACTGAATCAGATTTGCCAGAAAGAGATCATATACCGAGTTACATTTACAGTTACTTTGCAAAGTACATTGATGCAAACAAAGTTCCTTCACACAAAAAATGTGGAATATTCTTAGCCAGGTCTCCATCTAAATCCAATATTACCACAGCTAATATACAAAATTGGGTGAGTTTAGCTATCAGAAAGAAAACAAATGTTAAAAATAAATAAAAACTCTAACTTGATATTTTTCTTTAAATATTAAAAAAAAAATTTCTTTAAAAAATTGCTTTAAAGTTTCGTTTTTCTTATATTTAATTATATATTTTTATTTATTATTCCTTTAACTAGTGAGTTTCACTTTTTTATCTAATGCTTTTAGATACAATATTTATTAAAATAGTAGCAACATCTTAAGTCATTGTAAACTTTACATTAGATATAGTAATTTATTATATCTTTTAAGTTGTGATATTTAAAGAATATAAGTTACTTATAGTTTTATCTCTATTCATTATAAAATATTCTCTGGTAACCGTAGTTCATTACAAGTGTATTATGAAAACTTTATGTTTGAAAATTTATCACTATTGTATGGTTTTATATCAAAGTTGTTTATTATAAGCCTGTAGATCAATAAAGTTTCAAGAACAATTGCTTTTTAATCTATTCTTCACACAAATCCCTTTAAATAAATTAAGTTGGAAAAAACATCAGACGCTTAAATAATTAGTGAAGTATGTACATTGTTTACTTTCAAAATGTAATTTTGTGGCTCTTCAATTTTACACTTAAATTTCATTAATAAATTTTATACGTACAACTTTAATCTATACATGTAAATAATTTTAAATAAAATAAATTATTTTCAGTGAGAAAATTATCTTGATAATAAACTGTACAAAAATAAAATAGTAACATTTAGTATAAAATTCGAGAGAAAATTGCTAGCTACACATTGGAAACAAAATAAATCATATGAAGTTTATTAACATTAAAATGCTTGTAGCAGTCAATGAAAATTTTGTTTAGTTTTTTTTTCAATGTGTACAATACATGAAAAATCATATATTTATCTTTTGTTTATGCAAATTATTTATTATCAATTTAAATAATTATGTATAGAATATTAGCTATTTTTAGAATAAAATAATGAATATTCAAATAATTTAATATATAATATAAATGAAATTTAAGATAAAATGTATATAATATATAATAAAATATATATAATAAATTAAGTTATTTATTTAGTCAATAAAACGTGATTTTATTTAAAAGAACGAATTATTTATTTAGTCAATAGAACGTGATTTTATCTAAAAGAACGAACGATATGTACGTATATCTTACAATCATAACATGGAAACTAAGGATTTCCACACGTGAAATAATACAAATCTTGCAGGTCTTATAAGTTAGCGCCCAAAAATGAAAAATTTTGGAAAATCGAAAAAACAATTATACCATTAGATTAGTCGTCTTATAACTAATTGTTCCATGCAAATTGCATTCGATTGCATTTCGATTTTCCAAAATTTTCATTTTTGGGCGCTAACTTATAAGACGTTTATATTTAATCAAAAAATTGAAATAACACAACTTGTATTGTAAGCAATTTAAAACGAAAAAGACGATTTGCGCGTGCGCAAGCATACGGAGTTTACGCAACTGATTGGTATATGTGTGTCCATGTGTTTGTTATTAGATATTATTTAAATTTTTTCATAATAAATAATGTTTTTCGGACATATAACGAGGCAAATTTTTTTAAATAGTGAGCAATTTTTTAAGAGCTTAAAATAAAACATTTTATTTTTATAAATAAAGTTTTTTTTTTTAATAGTCAAAAAATTAATTTATTTACTTATTTTATTGTATATTGTTAGTCCGTTCGCTTGTATCCAGTATTTACCCATAATATTCACGGCATTGGTGAAATGTAGTTGACGGCTCACTTTCACCAGGATTATAGGAATAGAAATATTAATATTGTAATGTACAACAATCTAATTGGAGTTTCTTAAACAATAAGAGCAGGGGTACGTGGGGTAATTCGGGGAGCACGCGCGCTGCCCTGGCGGTTGGCCGCGGGCTGGCAAGCATAGGCCAAAATGGTATTTTATTTATAATTGCTTGATTAATTAAGTTATCCATGATTTCATCATGAGTGCCGTTAGTTCGTCTTATGAACTAACGATTAGGGTACAAATTATTTTTTTAAAACAATTTTTTATTTATTTTAGCGCCAATTATGATTTGGGTGCTTGACTCAACACCCAAGGGTTATTTTATTTTTTTAAGGGTCTTCTTTGAGGACTAATAAACAAAAGATAATGAAAAAAGTTGATCCTTTTTCGATAAACTATTTAACGGCATCATTAGTTTATCGATTATCTAAATAAAATTAATATGGGTGCTGTCTTTTAAGACCTGCAAACATTGAATATTTCGTGCCTTTGGGGATCTTCATATGAAATTAATATATATATTAAAACTTTGAGAACTCCATATTGACGAAAAGTTATTCAGGTATTAAGTTAACCTTGTTTACTCAAACTCCTACTAACTAGCGTTACCCCAAGTAAATTCCATCAGGTGTTAGTACTATTCGTTCCCTGCATGGTTCACAGTTGACACAGTTAGGTGCCCCTTAGGCAGTCGAGAATTTTTTATCATTATCCCGATAAAAAATTTAATTTCATTATTTGACAGGTTTTTAGCAAGTTCGCTAAACTGCCTGATTGGAATATTGGCACTTTGGGGAGCTCGCCAAACTGATCAATTGAATAATGGCAGTTTAAGGAGATCGTCAAACTGCCGAAAAAATCGCTGAACTGACCAATACTTGAAAAAATACTCGCTGAAGTGACCTTTTCCAATATATATATATATATATATATATATATATATATATATATATATATATAACTTTAATTTTTTAATCGACGGTCAGTTGAATTTTATACTTCAATGATTTTTCATTTTTAGTGATAAAGACTGAAAAAGAGTTTAAAGAATTTGAAGCTAAACGAGGAGTTTTTAGTACTGTTCATGACTCAGTTTTGGAACGATTTTATAACTCTGAAGAGAAAGATGCTGATGAAAATGTTTGCAAATTTAAAAGAAAAAAGAAATTGCTGGAGAACAAAGAAAAAAAGGCGCTTCGTGTGGTAATTTGAATATTTTTATAGCCTAGTTTTAAGCTATAGTTTTAAAACCTTAAACTAGTATAAGTAACATGAAGTTAAATAACATGTGCAAATTCTTTTTTTGTAAATATATTATCACATCTCATTCTAGGTACACGAAAATAAAATCCAAAAGAATTTAATAGAAGAGAAAATGAAAAAGTTTATGTCAACTAAAACTCTATTACTAAAGGAGTCTTCCATATCACATGACATTATCTCCATTTGTAATTCATCAGAAAAGAAAGAAGTATGTACAAAATTCAAATGAACAGTGTTTACAGATGAAGATAAGCCGATTAGAAAAAGAAAATTTCGATTTACAGAATGAAAATATTAAAATAAAAAATAATTATGATATTTTGCAAAAACGTTTAGAGACTTACAGAATCATTAACGAACGTTTACAAATTCAACTTCTTTGTTGCGAAAGAAAAATGTTTGAAATGGAAGGAAGTAAAAGGAAATGTAATTCAGTGTCACCAATGAAGGTAAAGATTTACCATAAACATATTCAAATTATTCAAGCTTAAATTACTCTATTATTCAATTTCAAATTATAAAATACAATATAAATTTTGAAAAACGATAATTGAATACTAATGATTTGTAATACGGATGAGCGCTCGTACAAATAATGTCAATGTGGTGATTCGATAGGAAGTTTATGCGCGCGCTACTTTAATTAGCCACTTGCCTATTGTATAGTTCCTATTGTACGTATAGCCTATTGTATAGTAGAGCGATCTGACAAGAAAAGTTATGTGCAAGAGTCGTTAAATTTTCTTTTTTCGCCTTTACTAAGCTCTTATACACAAGGCCCGAAGGTGTCACTTTCTCGCGGTAAATCCGACCGTGTCGGAACCTTTTTTGCCCCGTTTTTCCTTTGTTTTTTTATTTGGTAATGGTGAAGTTTTTAGGTTGAATTTCCATGTGGATATCCAACTGGATATCTATGTGGATTGATATGGATTATCAGGATGGGTTTTTCCTACAAAATCTAGGCGGATTTTTATTACACTATTTATAAAAAATCAACTCTTTTGTAAAATTATTGATTTAAATACCTTTTTTAACTATAAAATATTGATATTAATAAAAAAAGTTAGTGAACTAATCGTGTCTTGAGCTCAGAATCTTTTGTTTTCCAGCCTCATACTTTAGCGTCTGAGCTACCTATCTTAGATTAACTTGGTTACTTTAGAGTAGTTGGTGTACATTAAAGTGATTATCTAATTACATTATTTATATATCATGATGTTTCTGCGCAAAAAATAGAGACATACAGGAACAGAATAAAAACATGAAAATAAGCTTTGGACATTAATTAATTACACTATTCGCAAAAATTATAATTTCAAATATATAAATTCAAAATGGTTTATTCAAAATTAACATGAGTATATTATTCTTTTTAAGGACGACATTGCTACAATTCCTCTGACCTCTACTCCAAAGAAATCGCTATCTACTGAAGTATTAGTACATAAAGATAATTGCTTTGACAATAATTCACCACCTCCTATGGAAGATTTAGATATCGTTGATGACTGTGATGGTATTAACAAGCAACAACAGTATTTTTCGTATAGAATTGAATATAACGCCGAAGATACGAAAAAGAAGTAATATAAATATTTATAGTATTATACATAATTTGCTTGTAAATTATATCATAAACGTTCTATAAAATTGCCATGTTTAAAGTTACTCTATTATAATACTTAAATATCTTATAGGGAAATTGGATTTTGATCTGAATATTATTCCACAATCAAAAAAACTACCTGCTATTTCGGAATGTACAATTACTAATGATTCTGCTGTGGTTCATTTTGATAACACTGACAATGATTCACTACCTTGTCAATCTCCTCTTTCTTCACAAGTTCAGTCATCTCACAAAGAAATAGATATATTGTCGCATAATTTACTTCAGAAAAAGCAAAATCTCAAGCACAGGAATACTGGTATTGTAAAAAGTAATGTATGTTCTAACAAAAAAGAAGACTATCAAATTATTAGTGATTTGAGGAGCGATGATGATGATGATAAAAATGTTTCGGTATCTTCTACTGATTGCTTATACTTTTCTAAATTTGGGCATAAAGAAAGCTTTACGAATAATGACGGTGTTACGGTTGGTATAGATATTTTATTTATTCTGATGCTCACATGGTATTGTGAATGAGAATTATTATTAAAGTATATGTTATTATTATACTATTTCCATACTAGTTATATATGGTTAAATAATGATTTAAAAATTTTATATGCTGACTGGAAGAACTTCTTAAGCGTCAACAATGAAAGCAAGTTTACCAAGCAAATATTGAGAGCTATGCATAAAAATGAAAATGGGCAATACCATGAGGCATTAAGCAAGAGGTGCGTGTCCGATAAACTAGCATATATACGCCAAATGGCGTAAATCGAAGAAAACCCTTAACCAAATTAGAACATATAACAATCGAAAGTAGGGTTCTCAATTAAAATATTATCTCCTTTTCTAGATATTATAAGATTTTCTTTTGCAGAATGCTTATCTTACTATTGCCAAAAAATACTAAAGTTAGATAAAGATGCAGTGAGAAAAGTCTCAATAAAGAAAAATTCATTTATTACAGAAGATATCAATACGTCAATCAAACTAATCAAAAAACAAAATGAAAATTTCTAATTAATTAACATCAATCTATTATATTTATTTTAATATTTGCATATCAAAACTATTTTTTATTTTTTTAAAACTTATAAATATCTTTCTATGAAAGCTATTGTGATTTACTAATTTTTAAATTACTTTATGAGAGTTAATATATTAAAAATTTTAATATATTGCAATTTATTTTTATAAAAAAATAATTTTTGTTTGTAATTCCAAACATGTATTGATGGATAAACAATATTAGATTATCTTTTTTAATAAATTATCAAATAGTTTACATTCTAATTCAATTGTTATTATTAAAAAAAAAATATATATATACATTATTTATTACTTTCACTACTGTACGAATACTGTCTCCAAATTACAAACCTAATATAAATATTATTTTCTAATATCCATTTGGAAATCCACCTGGAAATTCTACGTGGGTTGCACATGAAATCTACCCAAAAATCCATACTAAAAATCTAAGTAAAATCTGTATGGAATCCACTTAACATCTATACGGAAAATATATGAAATCCACCTACATTCGGCGAGAAATCCATCTGTAATTTAGCTGGAAATCCACCTGGATTCGGCCAGAAATCCACCTAAAAATCCATCTGCATTCTAGCTGGAAATCCACCTAGATTCGGCGAGTAATCCACCTAGAAATCCACCTGCAATCTAGCTGGAAATCCACCTGGATTCGGCGAGAAGTCCACCTGGAAATCCACCTGGATTCGGCGAGAAATCCACCTGGAAATCCATCATGGAAATCCAGCTGAAATCCAGCTAAAATCCATATGGAATCCGGTTAAAATCTATATGGAATCTATATGGATTTCCACTTGGATTTCTATTATGGATTTCCAGCTGGATTTTTTCAACAGGGCATGGTAAAACATGGAAAAAAATTATTAATCGATTAAAAAGGAAATGTACCTCAAAGTACTCCAGAACCTAGAAAATGAGCTCCCGGAGGCTTCTATAGAATGAATACTTTCTTAGTAACAAAACTTTTAATTTTATGTAACTTTTTCTCTGGGTTGACAAATAAATATGGATGGCAGTGTACATCATCGGAACTTTACATCAGATGAATTCTCTTGTCAACTTATCTATTTGTCGATGGTGTACTTTTATTTTGAAAAATATGATCATATGGCATAAAAGGGCTTTGCGAAATATCTGAGTTTACAGTAGTTTTTTGTAAGGCAGTTCGTATCCTACTACTTCGCGTATTGAACGTAGAATAAGATGGGCTCAATACATTTGAAAGATTTATATTATTCTATGTACTAAAAGTCGCTAAATGTAAACGTTAAATTTTTTGTTATACAGCGCTCGATATTAAACTAAATAGCACAAGTCTACAAAATTTTAATGCTTGATTTAACGCAATAACATCAGATACGTATTCCGAAGGTTTTTGATGTACTAAATGAATCCAATTTTAAAATTGAGCCATTACGTCAGGATTCCGAGATATTGTAATCTAAAAACGAAAAAATCGCGATTTTCGACCATATTCAAGGTTATAATACAGTGCGAATTACATTTTTTTTCTCAAAACGGGTTACGCCATTTCAAAGTACTACTCTCGCCCTTCACAACTCATTTTTAATGTTTTAGATATACCTATTTTTCCTAAAAATATCGCAAATTGAAGATTAATAATTTATTGATTTCGTCACAGCCTTAATAACTTTTTCGTACTCATAAGGTTTATAGCTACGGTGCGGGAAAAATGTTGAAACTCTAAGGGGTCCCGACCCGCGTTGAATCAGAATTCAGTGTCAGATTTCGAAAATTAAAGATGGCGGATCCAATATGATGGACGATATATCGAAAAAGTCATTATTTTACAAAACGAAAAATGTTATCGTATTTCTCGTTTAAAACAAATGAAAACTGTTCCTAGTATTTTTCTGATTCGTCACATATAACATTAAATACCGATCAATGGTCATAGTTGTTAACTATCTAAAAATATTTAGTTCATTTTAAGTCTTAATCTTAATGATATGAAACATTAAAATACTCAAGTTTATTTCACAATATTTCTGAAGAAAAAAATCGCATTGAAAAGTAAAAATTGGATTTTGAAGGATAAGGATAGTATTTGAGGATGGCTTGACTCGTTTTTGGACAAGAAATGAATTTGCAGTGTATTATAACCTCGAATATAGTCAAAAATCGTGTATTTTTACTTTTAGGCTAGAATATCTTGGAATCCTGACGTGATAACCCAATTATAAAGTCGGATTTGAATTCAGTGCTCTATCAACCTTTGAAAAACATGACTAGTGTTCTTGCTTAAAAAACCTTGTTGACCTATGTAATTAATCATTCACTGCAGTAGTATAGCAATGTATGTTCCAGCACATCTGCGGGGGGTCCGTAACCCTTTGGTCCCTCCTGGCTTAACCCTTTCATGTTAATAATAATTGTTATTGTTAACAATTATTATTAACAATATTCGTGGGGTCCCTGGTTTAACCCTTCTATGTTAATTATTATTAATGTTAAAAATTGTTTATAATTTTTTGAGGAAGGTTTCTAGGGCTCCTAGTCCTTAGGGAGCCTACACCTAGTGCTTTCTGTCTAATTTAATTTAAATATTTTTTAAATAAAGTTATAAATATATTATTGACAATTTACTTGCTACATTGAAAATGAATGAAGTGAAAATGAAACGAATAGAAAATAACGACGATTGGAAAAAATGAAGAGACAGACCGGAGAATCGAACCGGAGTCCACTGGGTTGGTAGACTAGCGCTCTATCCCTAGAGCCAATGCCACATGTACCTTAGAGGATGCATATTGTATATATTAGCTACACGCGCATACATTTGGTATAGGGCCCGAGCGTGCGGAGGAGGGGGGAGTGCATGCTGTCTATAGTTCTGGCCTGATGGGGATGCGCTACTATAGTACTAGTAAACGTGTGCTCTTTCTCTCTAGCTCTGACTCAGCGTGGACCACAGAGCGAGGAGGGGAGCGCATGAGCAGCTATGCTTACTACTTACCCTCTTATCTTAAGTTGACTGTGTATCATAAATGTAGATCACAGCTGGTTTGAGGGTGATCAAGTTTCTCCACTACTTTCAGAAAGAGAGAAAGAGAGAGTATCTATGCTTACTACCTACCCTCTTATCTTATGTTACCTATGACTATCACAAATGCAGATCATAGACGGTTTAAGGATGATCAAACAAACTCATTAGCGCGGACGCGTGACCATCTGCGTTTAATGCGTTTATTGCGGATGACCATAAAGTCATCGGCACGTCGCTCAAGATTTATGAAGTTTTTAGAAAGTGGCGAACTTTCTAGCCCACATGGGGAGGAAAAAGGCACGCCAAACGTTCACTCAAAGAATGTCTACGTTTGTCTGTAGCGTTACGTAACTATAGCAAAAAATCGTACCTGATAATAGTGTGAGCGTTCGGTAGGATTTTCGTTGATCAGTCTTAAGGGAAACTTCAAGCTGTTCAAGTGAAGTGGTGATCCTTTATTATTTAAACATTTCAGTAAGTTTTTTTATATTTTTTATAAATTTATTTAATAAAAAAAATGGACATCATCAGAGCGTGTTAATTCTTAGAAAATGTAAGTATAATGTTTAAATAATTTAAAAATAATTTAAATAAATTTTAAAATGTTTTTTTAATAATAATGTTATTACTCAATTTCAGTTTACTAATCCTATCGTTCAAACTATAGGAAGAGAGCCGTTATATCGGCTATTAATTGTAATATTAATAACTGTAAGTATTTTTTCTCATTATATATTTATTAATTTCTTTATTTATTGTCATTTATTTTTCAGTTACAAAGATTTGTAGACGAGAGCAGTCCTCAAGCTCTGCAAATTCAACAAATAAAGGCTATTGTTCAACAAGTAAGTATTATTATAATATTATATCATTTTATATTTTTATTAATATTTAATTGTCTTTTCTCTTTTTTCAGTAGATCAAGGAATCCATTGCAGCCAGAATGATGGCGCAACAAGTCGCGTATCAAATTGACAAGATTGTCAATGATCGCGTGAAAGCGAAGTTGGAGCAGCGTAAACGTGCGGACGCTATGAGGAAGCATCAAGAATCCGCTCTATTAGAGCGGAAACGGAAAGCGGACTTAGCTAAAGCAGAGTAAGACGAACTTGCTGCGAAAGTTAAGCAAAGGCTTTCCAGCATAAATGAGAGAGCTGAACCATCAATAACCTCCATCATGGTGAATCAGGATAATGTACCATCTTCGATGATGTCAACATCATCAGCGTCGGTAACATTATCGTCATCATCAGCAACTTCAAGGTCAACATCACTAGCGACGTCATTGTCATCAACAGCAACCTCATCGTCATCATCTACAGCAACATCCGCAGGCTGTCAAAGAGAAGATGCACAAGTCGATATACCACTCGATTTGACTGCTACTGTAAGTACTTAAATTATAGAAATAAGTAAATATTTA